ACACCTTCATCACAGCTCCTCATTAGCACAGACACAGCGGCGGGGCATTGTGGGAAACAGCAGACGCCAGTGCAAACCTCACAATCAGAACAGAGACGCTTCGTAAACGATCGATGTTAAAGAAAACGTTTCTGTCTGAGGGTCGTGGAGAACTAGCCGAGAGAGTAGCTACTATATACACACACTGCTGCTCAAATGTTTGGCATCACTGAGATTTTTTATGCTTTTTGATGTATATTTATATACATAAATATTAGAGATGCCTTTGTCTTTTTTTCTCATTTTCAGTTAAATCAGGTTGTGTCACAGACAAACACTGACACCTAGTGGTCAGAAATCTGCACTGCAGTGATTTAGTTTCATCTGTTAACAGGAGTTTGACTGTTTTAATTGATTGTGAGGAACACTGAATGTGTTTGTGTGCAGTGAGATGAGTAAACACATGTTGATATTTAGTCTAGAACTACAGTAAGATCATGTTCACACACAACGCTCTGCACTTACTCCTGATTTCTGTCACCATGGCAACACCAGAGCTGTCACTCAACACATGGAAACAAAGTAGCTGGCGTTACTTATTTAAAAAAGTAACTCCGATATTTCCTTCTGAATTAAAAAGTAATGCGTTACTTTACTAGTTACTTGGAAAAAGTAATCTGATTACGTAACTCGCGTTAATGCGTTACCCCCAACACTGGTGATGAGGGAAACAAACGATCAAAGCATACACACACATCAAATCACTGAAAACACCACACGCTGGCGACACCTGCTGGTCAAAACTCTGTAAATGCAACAGAAACTCCACAGACACTGGCTCAGAGGCTCAGCACTGACATTTGAGACCTAACAAAGACTCGTTTACTGAAATCACATGACTGGCACTTTCATACGTGATGCAAACACCTGGTTCAGAACAATGAGCTGGCTGAGTCGCATGGTATAAATGAACAGCATGGTCTGAGTAAGAGAAATGGGCATTGTTGCATTGTTGTGTTTTTAGATGATATAGTCTACATGGTTTCTCTACACACTCAAGCGTATGCACAAACTTAAAGGCAGGGTGGGTTTTAGTTCAAAAAATGTTTTGTTATGGTTTGACAGGTTTGTCAGGATGATAGTCTCTTCACATCCTGATATTATATACTGTCTGTATTTAATATCAGGTTGTGTGTGTGTGAGAGAGAGAGAGTGTGTTGTGTGTGTGTGTGAGAGAGAGAGAGTGTGTGTGTGTTATGTGTGAGTGTGTGTGTGAGAGAGAGTGTGTTATGTGTGTGTGTGTGTTGTGTGAGTGTTATGTGTGAGTGCGAGTGTGTGTGTGTGTGCGAGAGTGTGTTGTGTGTGTGTGTGTGAGAGAGAGTGTGTGTGTGTTATGTGTGAGTGTGTGTGTTATGTGAGAGAGAGTGTATGTGTGTGTGTGTGTGTTGTGTGAGTGTGTTATGTGTGAGTGCGAGTGTGTTGTGTGTGTGTGTGTGAGAGTGTGTTGTGTGTGTATGTGTGTGTGTGTGCGAGAGAGCGTGTGTGTGTTATGTGTGTGTGTGAGTGTGAGTGTGTTATGTGTGCGTGTGTGTGTGTGAGTGTGTATAATGAATAGAAGACATTTTTCACTCCCAGCCTTCATGAATAATTATATATCAATTATAAATGATTAAATACAAGATTAATAGTAGTTATTAAGATTGATGTCGTTTGGAATTGGTAAAATGTGCTTGGAAAAAAATATGATCAGAATATGAACTTGCATAATAATTATGCAAGCACTGTATTTTTCCTCTTCTGCTGCGAGGTAATGCAAGAACTGTTGTGATTGGTTGTCAAGGCAGCCAATCAGAATTTAGCAACCTGGTCTCTGATTGGCTGGAATTATGGCACATTGTAAGGCTGGGTTGTGTTGAGCACTGAGGGGGGCATCAGGCGAGCAAGCTAGTGAAACGTTGCACGGGCGAAAGAGAAGGTCTGCACACATCAAAAACTTACTTTAAATGCAAAATTGATTGAAAATACTTTCTTCTTTGCAAGACAAACATTTTCTCCACAAAGCTCAGATCGCGCGCGTGCAAAACGCACTTTTGCGCGCTCAAAATATGATCTTTCGCGCGCAGAATTGTGTCAGAGATGTAATCCCATACACCTGCGGCTCGGTGATGTACAGGACTCGGTCGCAGAAGGTGAAGCTGCTCTGGCCGCCGCTGGAAGCGCAGCCACAGATAGATGTAGCACAGCGTGATGAGCATCTTTCAGCGCGCGGAGTCATGCGTCACTGTCAGCTGCAGGCTCCGCCTCTTTCTGTGACGTCACCAATGTCAATGTTAAACATAAATAAACACTGTCCTATCTGTTCACACACTGCGCCTCGTGTCGGTCGGATGTCTGAGGAAGTTCGTCAGTGTCATTATTCCGATGTAAATTACGCACACAGTGCTTCTGAAGCGCGGCATTGACACGTGGACCCCTTTATTTTTCTCAGCGCTGACCAGAACGGACCAATCACAGGCGCTTCCGATTACTGTCGCGCTGGAATCTGCTGTCGGAAGCGGACCTGGAGGAAGACATGTGTTGGTCATCGAGCACTTAAATATGCAGTAACTTTCTTGGGGGTCAAAAAACAGAAAAGCTTAATCTTGGAGTTTACTTTGTGATTATAAATGGCATACAGAAAACACAATTTACTTGCTGTAACAAACAAAAAGAACGCTTCTTCTGAGTATGATTAACATTATCCTAAACGCAACCACTGCATTTATTCATTAACTGGTTTTCTATTTTAACATTACTCACAGATTTTCACTTGCAAGAGAAAGAGGGATCGAGAATGAAACAGGTGTAGTCTGTTTGGTTTCTTGATTAATTTGCCGATTTAAATAAATGTCACTTACACGCTTCATATGGATCAGTATTTCCTCAGACCTAGCTGTTCGCAATCCACACCTTAGTGTTTTTATGACATTAATGTTATCTTGCATTTTCATGATCCATTATGAAGTAAAAGTAGCTCGCCTCAGGAGGACCGCGCTTCTCGCGCCAGTTTAACGGTTTTCACTCTTGCTTTAGCGGGAAATGCGCGAACTCATCATAAATGCTAATTAAATATTACTGCTTAGTTTTAATTTTTGCTCTCTTTTGCCTAATCAAATAATCACGTATTACCGAAAGAAAATACGATAATATAAAATATAAAACAATATAAATACGTTTTCTTTCTACTACCGTGTGGGCCCTTATAAATCTTGTAAAAAACATGTAACAGTCATTACTTTGCAAGTAAAAAAGGGGAAATTATGCTTTTATTGTATGTTTATAGAAAAACGAACAGTAGTAGCTCAAACAGTCGATCATGGCGCCAGCAACGCCAAGGTCATGGGTTCGATTCCCAGGGAACCATACGCATAAACGTCAATGAAACTCACAGAAAGCATTCGTTTGCAAGCTGGTTGTCCAATATATGAGCTGTTTTGTAGGTTCAGTTGTCATCCAACATTTTTCCCACAACTTAAAGGCCAGAGGATTGTTCACGACTACTGGAGGTTTTTCAGTATAATGGCAAACAAAACATTCACTAAAGTTGCCAAGATTGGTGAAACTACCTTCAGGGTTCCCTCAAATGACTTGCTGGAAAAAATGACTCTCCTCCAATCAAGAACAGCAGCACCAAGAATATCAAATATTGTCCGTTTCTAATGATTAGGGTGATCTCATCCCTGTCAAACACTGCTGCTTATGGTCCTGAATGTTCAGCTGCTCTGGTGTTTTACTTACTATGACTAATCTCCATTGTGGCTTTATTAGCAGTGTTCTGGTGTCAAGTATGACTAACAAACAGCATCCATTAAGTTAAATCCATTTCCCATGATCCTTCACTCTCACACATGTGCTCCGTGCATTAGTGGAGGCCACAAACCTCCAGGCTGAGGAATCACAGAAGAACACACTCCAGGGGTCGTAGCTGGAAAACCCTCGACTCAGACACCGAAGAACTTGACATGAAGAAATGAAAGACCAGGTACAAGTTAAGCAACTTTGTTTTTTTATAATCATACATAAGACCGCTTGAATATAGTACAAAGGGTTTGTCCATTACTGCCCCTCAGTGACACTTTAATTTACACAGAAAGTCCTGATCTTACAAACTGTGGATAAAGATCCCAGATATCCGTCTGTCGTTCTGTTTACATCATCATCACATGTCCTGGAACCAAACGAGGAGTGAGAATGCGAACCGGACGGGAAGCCGAGGGGAAAGTCGGACCAGGGAGAGAGATTTCAAATCATAATGTGTGACCTGAAACGCTAGGAGCTAGTGAGCACGCACACACACGCACACGCACACGCACGCACACACACAAACACGCGCACGCACGCACACGCACACGCACACACACAAACACGCGCACGCACACACACACAAACACGCGCGCACACACACACAAACACACACACAAACACGCGCACACACACACACACAAACACGTGCACGCACACAAATACGCGCACACACACACACACAAACACGCGCACACACACAAATACGCGCACACACACACAAACACGCACACACAAACACGTGCACGCACACAAATACGCGCACACACACACACAAACACGCACACACAGAATCAGGAGAGTGAAGGTGACACACATCAGTCTGTTCTCCTCATGTTCTGATCTGATCATGAATGGTCAGCATCAGCTCTTGACCTTTGACCTCTGTGCATGTAAAAGCTGAGGTCAGTGTTTTCTCAGAGCTCTAACGAGCTGAAGTCCTGATTAACACAGGCGTGGCTGCAAAGACTCTTGTGCAACACATCCAGAGGAATTAAGTTTTTTTTTTTTTTTTTTGCCTGTGCACTGCTAAATTAATTTAAAAATACTTTTCCCACTTACGCACGCGCACACACACACACAAACACGCGCACGCACACTCACACACACACACACTCACTCACACACAGAAACAAACACGTGCACGCACACACAAATACGCGCACGCACACTCACACACATGCACACACACACACACAAACACGCACGCACACACAAACACGCACGCACACACACACACACCCCCCGTCTGCCACAGCTGACTTCTGCTTTCAAATGGACCCATTTATTGAAGCGTGTGCGATAAAAACACAACTAAACGGAAAATTACTTCCTGTACTATGTATACTACGTCAGCGCTGGAGTATACAAACATGTGAAGCGCCGCCCGATGCCGTTCTGAGTGGGACACACATCCACACACGATACCCTGTCTAGAAGATTAAAGTATGAAGATCTACTCTCCGTCCCGCTTCAACCCTAGAGTTTTGCATTTGTACTAGCGTCGTCAACTACTTTGGCCTGGAAGCACTGATACCCATTGACTACCACAGAGAACTTCCACTGCATGTTACCAAGTTGACGTAAATGTACTCAAAATACCATTAGGAAAAAAGTAGTGAGTTCTAAACTTCCTTTATTAAAAAAATATAAATATGTACATAAATTCTATTTCAGCTATTAAAATGGGGTCACAAAGTAAACACCTGAAGCCTGTTTCATGGACTCCCTCTGTATGCCGTGACCACAGGAACCCTAAAGAACCGTGCGCCCGCTCGCACCCGTCACCACCGCGCACGCAGACCGACGGAGAGACGCGGATTGCTTTAGTAGCGAGAGAGAGCGGTGTCCGGCCGAGGGGATCTCCGACTGTCCAGCTGCTCTGGGACCAGCCGAGCAGCTCGAGTCCGCATCCACCGTCCCGCCAAATCAACACAAAACCACCCACGCCGCCGTCTGCTAAGAGCAAATGAAGAGAAAGAAAAACAGAGCGACAGAATTTCGCAAGCGATGGCGTCCAGGATTGGGCTCTCTGCCACATCAAACATCACTTCCAGTTCTGACAGTCGTTTACTGACATGACACACACCTTTGCTTCAAAGTGCAGAACTGCTACATTATTGGTTGCAGACATCTATGTTCTATAAAAAAAACGCCTTTGGTACAATAAATTATCAAAAGGGAGAAACAAAAGTGGTGTAAAATTCACAGCATAATCGTGAAGCCAAATCAAAGAAGCGAAAGGGCCAAAGTAAAACACACATGCCGAGCACAACAGAAGAGCGGGAAGGGACACGGCCGTCGCTGATACCGTCAGTCCTGCGGATCTCTAGTGAAGAAAGGCCTCGGATCACCGTTCTGTTCTGGCGTGTCGTGAATGAAGGGTGTTCGCACGTCAAAAATACATGAAAGCTTTTGTCACTTGAAGAAATGTCCGGCTCGTCTTCATTCAGTCCGTAACGATAAGGCCATTTTAAAGAAGCGCTGCCCGCGGCCGCACGCGCCCGTCACAGGGGTCTCATTGCACTCTGGGAAAGCTCTGCTCGAAGCACACGACGTGAAGAAGAAAAGACGCGAGCGCGGTGGGGGGATTGGGGTGGGTCGGCCGTGACGCTCTCGCTCCCGTGCGCACGAGCATCTGAAACCATCTGAGAATCGGAGAACAGAAGCAAAGGTCAGAGGAGGACAGCCTGGTGTCAAGCCAGAGTTAATCCGGTCAGGAGCTGGCCACCGAGCTCTGCTGCACGCACACGCCCGCCATGGGTGACTCCTCGCGCTCCAGGCCCGGCCGCAGGCCCATGTGAGTCTCAGCTATGTAGTGGCCCGGCCCAGAGTTCGAGGGGTGGCCCGGCACGCCCGTCTCCTGCCGCGGGTTGGAGAAGGCACCCAGTCCCAAAGTCATGCTGCCGTTGTGGCCGAAGCCCAGGCGGCTCTGGTAGGCGTAGTGATGGTTCCCGGTGGAGGACGAGGACGTGGACGAGGCGGAGGAAGACAGCGAGGTCATGGACAGGTGGCCGTGGGTCACCTCCATGGAGTCCTGCGTGGAGGCGCTGTGAGAGGGCGAGTAGAGGCGGGGCCGGGGCCTGGCGGGGCCCGGGGCGTGCTGCTGCGGCGGGTGGTGGTGGTGATGATGATGATGGGGGTGCAGAGCCTTGGGCTGGTGTGGCGGCACGTGGAAGGTGGTCTCCTGGACGGGGTGCGTCTCTCCGGCCGCCTGCTGGAGTCCGTCTCCTCCCACCCAACCCAGCGCCGGAGCGAAGCCCTGTCTCGCCTGAGGAAGAGCACAGACACAGATCAAGCTCCCAGCTCAAACTAAATAGCACTAAACTCTACTAAACGACTGTTTTTCTGGTTGCATTCGCACCAGGAGCAGCAACTCTGAAGTGGCCGACAGCGACGTCTTTATTTATTTACTCACTTTTTAAAGAGGTCATCGGATGCAAAATTCACTTTCACAAGTTGTTTGAACTGAAATGCGTGTTGGCAGTGTGTGTACACTAGAGGTCGACCGATAAGGGGTTTTCTCTGGCCGATGCCGATATTTAGAAATCAGGGCAGCCGATGGCCGAAATATGATGCGATGTTTTTGGCTGATTTTTTTTTCTTTTTTTCCCAAAACTGTTAAAGATGGAACAGATCTTGAGAGAATGACCACAGATACACGAGTTTGAGTTGAACAGAACCGAGTTAGTCCTTTAAATTGAATCACTGCTGCCCTCATGTGGTAATGTGCTGGAGGTAGACAGCTGAATGGAGTGACTAATTCATAGTAATAATACAGTCGCCGTGATTTTGCCAAGTAAGACATGTTCCTGGATCAACATTACTGTCAAAAAATATAGACTAAACCCAATCCCTAACCATAAACCTAACCCTACCCATAATTTATTCCTAAAATCAGTGTGAAATGATAGCTGATTAACAAGGGTGTAGAAGCACATAACCCTGATCGTAAGCCTAAAACAGATATTTCCTGAAAAGTTATCCCTCAATTCTGATTGGTTAATTGGAATGTTGTTCCAGGAACATGTACTTGGTCAAATCATGCTCACCGTAATAATACATGGCTCAGAACTTAAGCACCTTCTTAAAACTGTTCTGAAACATGCTTTTTGTTAATGTTTGCTGACAGACACCAGCGTTTCCCACAGACTTGCAAATGCAGATTCATTCTCTACCAACAGGAGGCGCTGCTGGAGCGGGAAATATAGCGGTTTCCCCGGCAACGGCTGTAATCAAATGCTTTTTGACAGGATAAAAAGAGAGTTGTTTTACACTACCACTGAGAAATTTTAACCAAAGTATGTTACAGACTTTTCATTAAGACCCTAAAGAATCATATCAACTTGTGGAAAATGGGCATCCGATGACCCCTTTAACGCCATGCCAGCATCAAAGCTATTTTCATGGTGATCTCAGAATAAATTACACAAGGTATACAATTAACAAGAAGTCATAAAAGACATTTCAAATCTACACTAGACAAAAATTCTAAAATACGTTCAGGTGATACATTTTTAAATAAACCAGTTAAACACGCCTCTGAATAAAACCGTTGGCCATTTACATTCAAAACAGTACAATCTAATAAAATATGCTTCACAGTCATTTTGGTTTGGCAAGTAAGGCATGATGGTGGTTCTTCACCTGTTAATAAATATCTACGTGTAAGTCTTGTATGACCTAAAAGAAAACCTTGTAAAAAAAACTTGGTCATACCTAGATTTGCGACGTCTTTATTCGCGGCATTTACAAACGTCAACAACCGGTGAATGGAGGACGCCGTGATCGGAGCTGTTTTTGTTCTGTGCCGTGGGTTTCGTGATAACTGAATGTGGAATGTAAACGCACAATTTACGCGACTGAGGCCCTGTCCACACGAACGCGGTTATTTTTAAAACCTGCAGCTTTTTCTACGCGGTTAGGCCGTTCGTCCACATGCAAACGCAGCACCAGGTCACTGAAACCGAACATTTTTGAAAACGCCTGCCAGGGTGAAGATGTTCAGAAACTCCGGTTGCAGTGTTATCGTGTAGACAGGAGGTTCTGGCTTGTGACGTCGACGTCGGCGCCTGCGCTGTTATCTCCGCCTACTGGAGACTTTTTCAGGCTTCTGATTGGCCAACATGGCTTTACGGTTGAGATTATTTTCCATGTTCATGGAGTAAATATTTTTACACGGCTTTTAAAAAATGCCGGTAGCCGGTGTTTCGTATGCATTTGGCCAATCAGCGCACACTATGTCACTGGTAGTTCCTATAGGACTGTTTTAGACCCTGCTCTGAAGTAGGAGATAATTTAGTTCCCCCAAACGGAGTTCCTAGAACTAAAACTGTTCCTAGTTCCTGCGGTGCGAACACGCCAAAAGCGGGAAATTCCGCCAATAGTTCTAGGAACTCTCAAAAGGCTCCTCCGATGCGAAAGCCGCTAATTTGAGTCAATTACACTATTTACATATTTGAATAATTTCCAACATTTTTGAGGACATTTATGAGGACAGCATTTCTCTGGATTAACATTAAGACAGAAACCAAAATAAAGCCTTGAAGGTCATAAAATTAACACGCAAGTTTTGTCATTAATATACTTATGATTTTTTTTTACAGTGCAGTTGTTTTACAATAGTAATATCACTGTCTTATGGATGATAATAATAATAATTTATTCATTATTATATGAAATGTTTCCCGACTATGGTGTGGACTGAGACACTATCACAACTTAAAAGAGAACTTTTTTGTCTATTTTAGAGTTCAATGTTACTTTTTATTCAGTTCAGTTTGGTGACTAAAAATGGTCAAAATAGTTTTATTTAACTATAAAACGTACCCATTTTTCGATTGGGACTGAGGTCCACCTGCTACAGTCTCACTGAATCCTGTAGGAAGCATAGCTGGACCTCATAAACACAGCTTTACTTGCTGATATATTCCTACGGCCTCACTGACTGCACAAGCTGTGGAGTGATTCTGGCTCGGTTATGTGCGCTACGGATCTGGTGTGTGTGTGTGTGTGTGACAGTCCATGCTCACCACAGCACTGAAGTGTCCTCCGCTGTGCCGGTGCTGATGGGTCGGGTCGGAGCGGGCGCGGCCGCTGGTGCTCGTTCCAGACGATCCTCCTGCAAACACACAGCGCTTAGAGTCAGTGACGGCAGAATAGGGCTGGACGATAAATCTAGAACCATAATTATCGCCATATCATTTTAAAACAATATGAATAGTTCGATAAATGTTAAATAAAAGTTATGCGCCAAAAGCGGAACGAAACAGCTTATGAATTATCCGCTCGGATCAAAGTTTGAACGGCGGCACAGCACGAGATTACTAGATCAGGTGAGTCTCTGTCAGCGCTGTGAGATCCAGTGTGAAGCGCTTGCATTCAGCCAACAACACAAATGACTCGGGGATTTTAAAGCCAGATAAAAGCGCTGACAAACAGGAGAAACACTGTTTTTCAATCTACAAATCACCATCATTTACCATGGATTTACTGTAGTAACACTAACTGCACTGTGGTACTGAGGCAGAAATGTGGGTTATTTGTATCGAACTTTACTATATTATTGATGTAGACATGAAGTAAATGTATTAAAGGAGTAATGGAATATAATTACAGTATTTTTGTGATAAAAAAAAAAAACCTTGCTACGTGTACTGCATTAAGCTAGACTTGTTATAGCACTTCCGTATCATTGCTCTTTTGTTGGTTTTGATTGCTTCTATTGTCCTCATTTGTCAGTCGCTTTGGATAAAAGCATCTGCTAAATGACTAAATGTAATGTAAGCTATAGCATGCGTGCATCTATACTAAATGTCTTTAGACTACTGTTTTTCATACAGATACCTAAAAACCATATAGTTATATTTCTACCATGGTATTGAGGTGCTATTTGTGTGGTTTTAATCATGATTTAAATGTATGCTACTATGGAAGACCAATGATCATTAAAAAAATAAATAAATAAAAACTTGGTCAGAATAATTACATTTCACCATTTAAAAATGAGGTTGCTACAATTATTACAGATGTTACTGATTTTGATAATGAATAAAAATGTGCATCTGCATCCTAACTCAAGCTGCTACTACTATCAAATCTGCATTTCTAAGAGACAAAAAAGTAATATTAATATTATCAGGCGACACAAACCTGTGTCTTGATTTGAAACAATATCACTCATTAGAACATGCGGAAACTAAGAAATTAATTTTTCTGTTAAGATTAGTGCTGTCAAACGATTAATCGCATCTAAAATAAAAGTTTTTGTTTACATGATATATGAGTGTGCGCTGTGTATATTTATTATGTATATATAAATACACACAGTTTATAGTTTGAAAATATTTACATGTATACACATTTATATTATATATAAATATTTAATATATAAACAACATATTTTTCTTAAATATACACATGCATGTGTTTGTATTTATATATACATAAATATACACAGCGCACACTCATGTATCATGTAAACAATAACTTTTATTTTGGATGCGATTAATCGTTTGACAGCACTAGTTAAGATTTATTTTGTTAAGGAAAATTAACAGTCTGGTTTCAATTTGGAGCAAAAATCTGGCTTTAAACTTGAAATAAATAAAGATGACATTTATAGTGATAATTATCGATATCGACTGATATGAAAAAAATGATGTTGATAATTGTTTTGGGCGTATCGCCCAGCCCTATGTGAGAACTCATGATGTCTCTGACCTGAGCTGGAGGAGGTGCTGGACGTGGTTCCGGACGACTGCGACTGCTCCAGCGCCGGACTCGTGGACACGCTGCTGCTGGTGTTAGTGCCTTCATCAGCGGTCTTCTTGAAGAAGCTGTGCTGCAGAGCGTAATACGGCTGGATGCGGGTCTTTGGGTCGTAGTCCAGCATCCGCAGGATCAGGTCTTTGAACTTCAGGTAGTTATCAGGCGACACAAACCTGTGTCTTGATTTGAAACAATATCACTCATTAGAACATGCGGAAACTAAGAAATTAATTTTTCTGTTAAGATTAGTGCTGTCAAACGATTAATCGCATCTAAAATAAAAGTTTTTGTTTACATGATATATGAGTGTGCGCTGTGTATATTTATTATGTATATATAAATACACACAGTTTATAGTTTGAAAATATTTACATGTATACACATTTATATTATATATAAATATTTAATATATAAACAACATATTTTTCTTAAATATACACATGCATGTGTTTGTATTTATATATACATAAATATACACAGCGCACACTCATGTATCATGTAAACAATAACTTTTATTTTGGATGCGATTAATCGTTTGACAGCACTAGTTAAGATTTATTTTGTTAAGGAAAATTAACAGTCTGGTTTCAATTTGGAGCAAAAATCTGGCTTTAAACTTGAAATAAATAAAGATGACATTTATAGTGATAATTATCGATATCGACTGATATGAAAAAAATGATGTTGATAATTGTTTTGGGCGTATCGCCCAGCCCTATGTGAGAACTCATGATGTCTCTGACCTGAGCTGGAGGAGGTGCTGGACGTGGTTCCGGACGACTGCGACTGCTCCAGCGCCGGACTCGTGGACACGCTGCTGCTGGTGTTGGTGCCTTCATCAGCGGTCTTCTTGAAGAAGCTGTGCTGCAGAGCGTAATACGGCTGGATGCGGGTCTTTGGGTCGTAGTCCAGCATCCGCAGGATCAGGTCTTTGAACTTCAGGTAGTCTGCGACGGCGTGACCCGACTCACCGGCTCTCCGCCCGCCGGGGCCACCTGCCTCCACGCCCAAAATACTGTGCAGCTTCCGGGAGCCTGCGGGTTTATACTGCGCACGGGAGAGACCAGAAGAGTCAGTGTCACTGCATCAAACAGAGACAGCCGGCAGATCAATGTAAAGAAAGAACCGCACCCTTTTGCCATCTTTGGTCTTCTTCACACACCACGTGCTGTCAGACATCTTCTCAAAGAACTTCCTGGCTTTAGACGCCTGCTCCAGAATATGATTGGGAGGGACGCCCAACACCTCCACGATTTTATTCATCTGGTCGACCTGCCAACAAAACATCCATCACACACGGTAAGACGATGACTACAGCAACACACAAGGATGCGTTCATGCTGACAACATTTTCAATCACACAAAAATAGTTATGTTTTCATTGTTTCTGTATTACAATAATAAGGTTGATATAACACCAAAATTTGAGATACTAGTGAAAATATTGATTCTCAATTTCAGTACCACAGCAAACACTGCTAGGTTTTACTAATTTAAAGTTCAAACATTATTGAGTGAACGCTCTTACAATAAAATGTGAAAAATTAACAAAATACAAGCAATATCACAAATACGACTGATCAAAGATTCAAATGAAATAAACAGCGCTTTATGTTTTTCAGGTAGGTCTGATGGTAGTATTCAGGTAAGAGATACTGCAGAAATGTAATTAAATGTGAAATAACACCACGTAGTCTTCACTGTGTAAATTAAATATAGATTCATCCTTATTAAAGTAAATAAAGTTATTCAGTCAGGAGCAGTGATTTTTTTTTTCTTGTGGTATTCTGTTTGATTAACATTAAATGACAGATTATTAGGCTGCTGTCACTTTAAGACAATGCATGAATCCAACTGTTCACATTCATTTAAGAGAAACAACTGTGTTTCCAAGGAAACTTGCCAAGACGGGACATTTTGACATAGCATATACTTTGTGAACATGATACAGATTCTAAATTAATAGACAACCTGGAACAGTTTATCAGACCAGTTTAATTTCTAAGGCAGCAACATCCTTCAGTATCACCGGCGTAATGTTTTGTTGATTTCATCTGACACAACTTTCACAAATATACATCTGTAACTAAGCATGAGCAGAGGGCGAAGGCTGCACTCGGACTACAGGAGCATGGGTTCAGGTCAGGACTCACCTCGTTAGCGCCGCTGAACAGAGGCTCTCCAGTGTGCATCTCCACCAGGATGCAGCCCAGAGACCACATGTCGATGGCCAGATCGTACGGCATTCCCAGCAGCACCTCGGGCGAGCGGTAGAACCGGCTCTGGATGTACTGGTATATCTGAGGACACACGCAGCCGTGTTACTGAATGAGGCTTGAGTAGGGATGGGCCATATGGGCTTAAAAATATATCACAATAATTTCTGGTATTTACTGCGGTAACTATATCAATGACGATAATTCAGGGAATCCTGTTTCTTTAGAGAAAAGTATTATCTTTCCTATTTTTACCTAAAATAAGGCGTTGTGGGCATTACGGAGTACACACGTAACGTAATGACTGTTTATTTCACACTGGAAGCCAGAGGGCTGCAGAAACTACACTGACGACGCTCCAGGAAATCCCTAATATGGACAAAGGTATACAGTTGTCACTGAATAAAACGCAGATAGAGAAATTTTAACTGAGGAAACTTGAAGACAATAAAGTTACGATTACACAATATATAGCTATTGTTTATCTGTGCTCTTCAGCAATCTTGGGTATTTTTATAAGGACAAAGTATTTATAATGCAATGCTAATCGACATAGCCTTTATCACTGTGCAGGGCTCGACATTAGGGGCAAGTGAAAGAGAATTTTACTTGCCCGACCGGACAAATATCTTGATTAAAATGTTAATAACAAACAATAACTAGGGCAGCACCAAAACTTTGGCGAGAATGATTCTGATTTTATTACTTTTAGTGTAAACGGTGACTAATAACGGATAATGTATTGACAGTATCAAGGTTGCGTCAGTTGAGGCTCGTGCCTCATGGAAAAATCCAAACTATAAGCGCAACAACACACACAAAGAAACAAACATACTGCGGTAGAAAAAAAAGATAAATATTCTATATAATATATGCAACATCACACGACCAAGAGTGATGTTTTCCCGACTTTCAGCACGACTGCAAATGTGATGTTGATTTTATACAACTTTAGTTCAATAAAGTAATATTAACGGACTTACATTTTAGACACATTATTGACCGTTTTTGCTCCATTTCGCTAACGAAAATAGTTCTAAGCAAAGCCACAGCAGAACAGTCTCACATCTCTGAGCAACACACAACAGTTTCGTTACTGAATGATTCAGCATTTTTGAACGAATTGGGTGAGTGAATGATTCAGTGAGCCATTCATAAAGACAGTCACTTGTTTCATTTATTGAATGAATCAGCCGTTTGAACGAATCGGTTGATTCAATGACACAGTCTTTAAGACCATGACTTGCCCCCACCTACTGGTGGTTTGAATTCATATTTAAAAGTATCATTGCATTTTTTCCAACATTTCATATTTGTATGTCAAAAAAAGTAAAACATAAATCTAATAACATTATTTTTGCATTTGCAATTTTGAATAAATGCATTTATGGAACCTCTTATCTTCATTAAACCGTCTGAGTAAAAACATCTAAATGGCACTTTCGATGCAGCTTCTGTGTTTTCTCTGCAGTGGAAAGATGGGAGTTTGTTGATACTGGTTTCATTTGAATGGGAACAACCATAGTGTCTTATTATAATTGAATGTATTGATAAAATTTAAGAATTTGACGTAAATGGTGACGTACATTTTATAAGGTTAGGAAAATATTGCTCTTCATTAAGTTAAAAAGTGTAACAGAAATCAATTTAAGGCAAATATCACAAATATGCTAATAAGTAATACCTAATAGAGCACTGATGAGACTATTGCTTCAGAATAAATTACATTTACGCCAAAAAAAACAAAAAAACAAGCACATGTCAAGGCTTAATGTCGAGCCCTGCACTGTATATATAATACTATCATTCTGTAATATGAAACCACGTCTGGTCACAAAAAGTTATTTCAAACACTTGACTTATGTTATGAAATTAATTTGGAGAAAAAGCATGTCAATAAATTATATCTTTGTTGGACAACAGGTTTGTAAACAGGCTCATGCACATGCAAAACTGTGCTAATGTAGTACATTTATTCAAGGCTCAGAGTGATTTTTTTGTGCACTGTACAGCCCTGACCAAACCCGTTCCAGATTATAGAAGGAGCTCCTTGTTTAGCGATAAACTCCTCCTCAATTTCACGTCTGCCTTCCGCGATGTCGCTCCACAGAACTAGGCTTTATCGTTATTATCGTGGGAAGACTAATTCTTATCGAGGGGAGAATTTTTCCCGGTACATCACAAACGATAACATATCGCCCATCCCTAGGTTTGAGGTGCAGTCAAACAGATTGGGAAACGACAAACTCTACAGAATAACAGAAGAAACGACGGACAGACAGACAGTGATTGCGGTCTCACCCGCTGTCCCAGCTGACAGGAGCTCCCGAAGTCCACGATCTTGATGGCGGATCTCTTGGGGTTGCAGAGCAAGATGTTCTCGGGTTTGAGGTCACAGTGGATGATGCTCAGCTCAGGCGTGGCCAGGAAGAGCAGCGCGGTGCACAGCTGCTGAGCAAACTTGCGCGTCAGGTTCAGAGACACACCGCGGAAATTGGTGTTCCTCAGCAGGTCGTACAGGTTATAGGACAACATCTCGAAGACCAGACACAAGTGGTTCCGGAACATGAAGTGGCGTTTCAGATGAACTGGAGGAGAAAGAAAGAGAGAATGACGTTAATGAGTGTAACGCTTTACTGATGACAAGAGAAACTAATGTCTTGAAGGCTAGGGCTGCAAGGTTTAATCGAATCGGTTCTGTGATTAGTAGTAAATCTCCATCACCTGCTTTCAGATGGAGCAGCATTTACTGCACAGAGCCTTAGTTCACTGACAAGCTACACAATATCGTGTTCATTATCACAGACGATTTAATCGTGCTATTATGAAATCGAAGAAATCGTTCTGCGATAATGACAGTTGTTTGTGTAGCTTGTCAGTGAACTACGGCTCGGTGTAGTAAATGCTGCTCCATCTGAAAGCAGGTGAAAATACCACATTTAATAATGTTTTTCCTCCAAACTCACTTCATAACGTCTTTCGAGTGTTTGAAATAAATCCTTCTGTGAGATGATGTGGCTTCTTACACAGAATAAATCATATTTAACCTTAAACATATTTCATAGTATTCTAAGCAGTGATAAAGGCATTGCATATATACTTTATTATAATGAAAATTATAATGATAAGAACTCAGATAAACCATATATTGTCGTAGTCGTGTGTTTATTAGTCAGGCTGAATCAATGAAAGCAGTTCAATCTTCTGTTTATTCAGCTAGTGCTGTAGGGATGTCCTGGGTTTCTTCTGCGAGGTGTATTTGGAGTTTCTCTGGCCTTCAGATGGAGATTTACTGCTGATCACAGAACCCTGCTTCACTGAAAGATACGATGGCAATCACAGCTTCTGCCTAATCATGATTTCATTTCGATTTATCATGCAGCCCTATCCTAATACAAAGAACACGCTGTCCGAATCACATGGCGACCGTCTGTGTGGCTTTCTGACCTTCTGTTCATCTACAGCCATATATAAAAGATGACAAAAAACTCAATATTCCTACTAATTGGCACTGCTTCTGTCTGGTAAATTTCTGTTTTTCCTCGTTTTTAAGTTATTTTGGATGGAAGCATCTGCTGATTGATTCAATCATGTACACATAATGAACATATCAGCCACTGGAACTTATAAAACATGTGCTCTTGTACAATAAAGTTGGACTGATACCAGAAACAACACCAGTCTCTGGTTCCTCATGAATACTCAATCAATACCTCAGGCAATAAAACAACAAAACCCTTGACTCGGTCCTGTCCAGAACACAGTCTCATCCCTTCAAAACACAGAAACAGCGACACAGTCCTAAAACAATTCATAGTAAGGAAGAAAAAAATGACCATTCTGTGGCTACAATAATTCTGATCAACTGTTATTAATTGTACCTTGCTTGCATGACTAACCTAGCCCTAATCAAACCCTAACCCAGGTTTTACCTGGTCGGATTGGTCAAATAGACAGAAGAAAAGTTTTGGCAAGTATTACAATGAAACAGCACAAGCAAATGACCAATGTGTTTTTGGGTGAAGAACGGGTTCATTAGTGGCTGATCCACAGTCAAAGTCCTGCACGTATTCTGGGGCTCAAATGATTTTAGGCCATAAATAAATGGCACCTCACCTCTGCCTTTGGAAGAGTTTCGTCTGATTTAAAGTCAGTTTGTACTCATCATGATACTGAACTTGTTCAGCACTTGTCCACAGACAGACAGGAGGGAAGCCATGATCATGACCCTGGAGACACACGCTAACACGGGACCCTGGCCTATATTTTTAAACATTTATAGTTGACCAGCACGCCGTCTGCCCTAAATAGAGCAATTCGTTCCTCTCCAAACACTGGTTCATACACATACAACAACATGACAAAGACATTTCAGAGAACATGTCCTCATGCTCGCTCGTATTGCATACAAAACCAACACCAAGGCAAAATATTACAAAATATTAGAGAGCAGAAGAAATCTGGCTCCCTATGGGAGCTTTCTAAGAATTTAACTCATTTCCACCACTTTGGGAACATCCTGATCTTTTCTACGACCACAGGAGCTGTGATAGAGTCACACATTACCGATGTAGTACTTCATCTCGGTGTCGTGTTTGTTCATGAGCTCCAGCAGTCGGACTTCAATCTGAGCCTGATTCAGAAAGGCCTTTTTATTCTTGATGATCTTGATGGCGACCCACTCCTGCTCCACGCGGTCATACGCCTTCACCACCTGCCAGCAGAGAGACGAACACGAGCGTCAGACCAAACGAAAACACCGGCCGATTCTTTACTAGCGACGCTGAGAGACACTGACCTGACCGAACGAGCCTTTGCCTATTAAAGAATCGATCTCGTATCGGTCCATCCATTTCTCGCCATTTTTAACGATGTAGTCAAAGTTGTCGTCATCGTAACCGTCGTTGTAAATCTTCCTCTCCTTCTTGTTGCTGGAGTCCTCGCCCTGACCCTGTTGGTGACGCCGCTTCTTTTTTGCATAGTAAACCTGCAAACAAAGAGCAAAGCCTGAGAGGAGCGACCCGAACGAGCTGCGGATGCAGGGCCCTGTGATTCCACCACACACATTATCATCATATCATACACACACAGGAATTAAAGGACTTCATGGCAACCTGTCAAAATAAAAGTCTGCTTTAAATAGAAGAAATTGAGATTTATACATCATACGTTATACGTTAGGATAGGACAATATTTGGCTGAGATACAACTATTTGAAAATTAAAGTTGTCCAAATGAAGTTTTTAGCAATGCATATTACTAATCAAAAATTACGTTTTGATATATTTACGGTAGGAAATTTACAAAATATCTTCATGGAACATGATCTTTACTTAATATCCTAATGATTGTTGGCATAAAAGAGAAATGGATAATTTTGACCCATACAATGTATTGTTAGCTATTGCTACAAATATACCCCAGCGACTTAAGACTGCTTTTGTGCTGCAGGGACACATATTACTATTGTACAGCAGAATGTACTTAGTGTAATAATAATAGTAACACTAATAACATTAAACAATTAGTAAACCTTTCAAGAATAATCACATTTTTACTCATTTTAACAGTATACATATCGTGCAGCACTTTCTTTTGCCAAAACAATGAAAATAATTATTTCATTTGATTAAAAGATTAATAAAAAATTTAGTTTCACGCCTTCATCTGATTGCCAGAAAAGTTAAAATACACACACAGGGGTTAAAGCAAAAAAATCCTTAGCCTGAACTTTTTTCCGGGTGTTGGGGGGTGGACACATACACAGGGTTATTTGGTAAAAAAAGAACGAAAAAAAAAAGCATTATTTGAAAATGATTTTCCTTGAAACTAACTAGTAACGTATCTGCCCTTGCCATTAGCCCTTGACAGGCTCAGACTACAGATTATGGTGGATATCTGAAACAGCAATACCAGGAAAGGTTACTCACTACAATATGGTGCAAACACATGTAACATTTAGGATGCTTCTGATATCAAGTTTTGCTGGTTAGCTTTGTCCTTGACAGAGTACAAGATGACCTACAATCTAAAACATGACATTTCTGAAATTGTTTTGTTCAAAAGAAATAATGGTCAATACTAGGAAATTAATATAAAATAGGAAATATACAAGTTTACTACAGAAAACTACAGTTCAGTATTATTGAAACAATTGGATAAAATATTAAGATTTTAGATTTTTTTGTTTTGATTTTTGAAAAAATTATTTTAACCTTTATCACATTCCAACTAAAATAAAATAGAGAGAAAAAAAATTATTTTGAAGGCAATAAAAACCAAATTTGGGGCAAAAACAAAATGGATTTCATAGAGCCACTGATAGGGTTGGGTACCGAAACCCAGTACCAATAGGGCCTTTCGCACCGCAGGAACCTTTTCATAGTACCAGAACTAATTGTGGAACTACCCACTTTTAGGCGTTTTCGCACCGCCGGAACTGGGTGCGGATTTCAGTGCCATGCCTGAGCGATCGACTGAAATATTTGTCCTCTGGTTCTCCGAAACGGACGTAAGAAACATCATCGTGGCACCGCACATAAAAAATTATTTCCCTGACTGAGAAAATGCACGTGAACGTGAATGGCCAATCCATCATTTTTGGGGGAATTTTTATTTATTTATTTATTTTTTATTAAGTACCGGTTTAGGCACCGGAACCGTTTTAAAAGTATCGATTTGGCACCGGTATCGAAAAAAACACCCCAAACGATACCCATTGCTAGGGCAAAGCTCTGAGGCTCCGTCCAATAGGAAAACGGGTAAGAGGCATGAAATTGAATTGCACTTTGACACATTTCCCAGCACAGTTTAACACAGTATTTGCTGACAGAAAAGCTCTCTGGTGAGGAACCCGGAATCAGTTTGTGTGAGAGAGGGGCCCCGGCCCCGGAGACGGACGCTGCCACGGGACCCCAGCCTGTATTTTTAAACATTTATAGTCGACCGGCACACGTCTGCCCTAAACAGAGCGCTCGGCTCCTCTCTAGATGCTGCCGTGGCCTGACGGGAGCCTAAAGACGAGCAGAACTCTGAATAAACACACTCTGCTGCAGCCTAGAATTAAGCTGCTGGTCTCGTCTGGCCACAGGAGAACGGCACACTATTTCCCTGTTTAATACTGTAAAGCTGCTTTGCCACAATATGCATTGTAAGAAGCGCTATATGAATAATGGTGACCTGACAAACACACACACACACACACGTGAGCAAAACAGGGTTAAGATCACTGCTCACCTGTATGCATCGTCTTCTGACAAATCTCATAAGAACCGAATCAGAACGCAGATTTCAGTGCCATGCCTGAGCGATCGACTGAAATATTTGTCCGTTCGTTCTCCGAAACGGACGTAAGAAACATCATCGTGGCACCGCACATAAAAAATTATTTCCCTGACTGAGAAAATGCACGTGAACGTGAATGGCCAATCCATCATTTTTGGGGGAATTTTTATTTATTTATTTATTTTTTATTAAGTACCGGTTTAGGCACCGGAACCGTTTTAAAAGTATCGATTTGGCACCGGTATCGAAAAAAACACCCCAAACGATACCCAACCCTAGCCACTGATGCAAGTGATGCATTTATTCATGCAACAAAGTCAACAAAACCTGTTTCTTTACATCAGGTTCAGTATGAGTTCTACTAACTGCTGCACACAGTCACGTGAGTGACGCACCTCATTGATGTGTTTGTATGTTTTGATCAGTTCGATGGACACTTTTCTTAAGGGCTGAGCGACCACATACTGTACCTGTGTGTGTGTGTGTGTGTGTGTGTGTGTGTGAGATAACAACGAATGTACCTGAAGCGACTCGCGAGTGGTTTCCAGGTGAGAACAGCCCTGATGTCTCAGCAGGGTCTTGCCGTTTTCTGAGATGGTTGAGTTGATCTTTAACTTGCACAACCATTGGTGAAGATCTGCGGTGAAATCAGTCCAGTTTAGAGCAGCTTATCAACACAGCGGGTGTTTACAGTACACAAACACGCGTGAGATCGCAATAAAGCAAACAGAAACACGATGAAGAGCCCCTCATCATCATCAGCTCGGGCTCTAGTCGACAAGACCACCGACTCCCGCAACTTTGACGCTGTAAATCAGTTTCGCGCGCATGACGAGAATCAAAGCTGTCAAAACACCGTTAGCCTAGCCAGCTAACGGTACCGGAGCCGCGCGGAGACTGACAGCTTGTGATGCTGGGCGCGAAACGAACAGATCATCGGCGAATCGCTCGCGTTGAGCAGTCGTTACCGAGCCGCTAGCTGCACAGACGTTAGCAGCGCGGGCCTGTAAACGGACCGAAGCCTGATGAGCGAGAAAACGGCCCCGTTATCGCGCCGCGCCAACGGAAAAGCGCAGAACGCGTCGGATCGCGCCTCGATTCGCACAGAGCGAGCGGATCCGAGGCTCCGGTGCGCGGCGGCGGGATCGCTGAGGGCAGCTAAGCGTTAGCCGCGGCGCTAGCCGTCATCACTCACCGTGTGGCGCGCCTCTTTCTGACGAGAGGAACGAGAATCCTCCGGAGGATCCGCGATCATTCCCAGCCGGCCGCCTTCCTCAGGAATCCCTCTCCAGAGCAGGTCCAATGCGGAGAAGCGTCGCGGTGAACAGAACAGATCGGCGCGTCTCTCTCGGTGAGCGTCGCGCGCTCCGCAGCGCAGCAGTCCCGCGTGCGTCCGTCAGTCACTCATCCTGCGCGCGCGCCCCCGCCGCCGCCTGGACAAAATGGCGCGCGCTGCAAACCCGCGCACGGCACTCGCGAGCTAAACTCGCCCAGCGGCGCGGCTCAGCGTCGACGCGACGCGCGAATCGGCGATCGGTTTCTCGGTCGCAGTCGAGCGCCGTCAGTCGCGGCGTCAGTCGTCTGAAGGAAGGGAAACGAGTCGGGAACAAAATGGAAGCCGAGCGAGAGCGTTTCCATGACGACTGTCCATCACACGGCCAAGTTCCCGGATGACCTCGTGACGCAGGAGCCGTTCTCGAGTTGCCATGGAAACTGCCAATCAATTTGACGTGTCGTAGGGCGTGGCGAGAGCGACTCTAGACGACGCCAAGCGAGGATATTGGGTTGTGGCTAGAAGGGATACAGCTATTATTATTATTAACCTATTATTACGTCTTGCAACATTTCATATTCACCGCAGTTAATCCACTCTTCAAAATCCTTTATTTATTGTTTTTAAAAAAGTTTTTAAAAAGTTCTATTTAATCTTTCAAGAATCTTAAAGCTGTTAAAACAGTTCCTTTTTCATCTTTTTAATTTATTTTGTTAAAGCTTTCGTTTTGCATTATTGATTTATTGTTATATACATGTATAAGTGGTGCTTTGCATGTAATGTCACATCTTTGTACTAATGTTGATATGTTATGCACTTTTATCTTTGGTACCTTGGCACTAATAATAATAATAATAATAATAATAATAACAAAACTGTCTCTTCTAGCCCTAACCAAGATGTTTGCGCGCGCGGTCAGTATGAGCAGAGAATGGTTTCATGAGTTTAGTTTGTGTTTGACTTCTTCCGGATCAATCATGTGCTTCTGAGGATCCTGATGAGTTGTTATGTGTGTGTTTGATTATAAGTAAGTTTAAGTAAGTATTATAAATGTAGATTCCTGGAAGTTGCTCCAGGTTTTGCGGGATTTAAAACGTTTTGAACACTTTACTTCAGTTCTTACAGCAGCTGAAACAGGCATGTCTTAAAACTCTTTAACCCTTGGAGTTTAAATTAATTTGCTTTTAATATAAATATTTAATTAATTGCTTGTACTTTTATTTTGTATTGTATTGCAATATATATTGCTATTAATTTAATTAGTATTATTTATTTTTGTAAAGTAATGTATTTTTATTTATTGTGTATATGAATATAACATTAAATATATACATATAAAAGTTCGCCTGGACGCGCTGAGGAGCCCCGCCCCTCCGGATGACGTCAGCGGTCACATGACGGCGACGCGGAAGCGAGTGCAGGGAAGATGAGCGTGTCGCTGGATATCAGGCTGAAGCGGGCGAATAAAGTGTATCATGAGGGGGTAAGAGCGAGTGTGTGCGGGGTGTGCCGCTGTGATCGGTCCGCTGGAGCTCAGTGTGCTGTGCTTTCAGGAGCGAGTGAGCGGAGTGCTGCTGGTCAACAGCAGAGACGCGCTGCAGCATCAGGGGGTTTCTCAGCAGTTACCTGTAACACACACACACACACAGGACAGCGTTCATGAGCGCGAGTGTGAGCTCATACAGACGCTTACTGTAACTGCACGTGAATGTGTACCTGCGGGGCCTGCAGCGCAGCGGCTGATTGGTCAGCGGCGCTCTGCGGGTGACCATCACTGAACGGTGGGTGAGAATGGGGCGTCTGCGCATCCATCTGCACACCAGCCGAATGGAAAGAAAACGAAGGGGCCAGCCGAACAGAGAAGGGTTTGCATGCTGAGGTCTCTCCTCCTGTAACACACACACACACACACACACAGGTGACAACCACCTCCAAACTAGGAACATCTAATGCTTTGACTCAGACATGAACGACAGTCTCTTTTCTCGTCATTGTTTTACGGCAGCGAGCGCTCCAGTGAAACACAAGCCAGAAGCCCTGATCGGGTTACAGAAGATCCGAAAAAGCTTGGACTGAAATGGCAGATCATGCTTTTGTCACAAGAGACACCAGACACGTGTTACAATCCTTTCTCTCGGTCTGGAGGGACTGGTGAACCTGCAGCTCAGCTCCAAGAGCGTCGGAGTCTTCGAGGCCTTCTACAACTCCGTCAAGGCGAGACTCACACACACACACACACACACACACTCTCTCTCTCTCTCTCTCACACACACACACAGAGAGAGAGAGAGAGAGAGACACACAGATATATATATATATGTATATGCTGTCTATTGCTATGGTGCAAAGAGCGCTCCCTTCATAATCACTAAAAAACTGTCACTGCACAACGAATCTCTTATTTACATCACGTCTGAACTGTGTTATAATGAGATGATTTGTACTGAACACAACACCCGAGTAATAGCACCAGTGACTCTAGCGGTGAGTGGAGTCTAACTTAAACGCCTCTGATTGGCTGCTGCATTCAAGAAATCATCAGATATGTCTGTAATTGGCTACACTGCTAAACGCTGCACAAACATGTTGAAATAGAAACCAATTTCTGGAGCGCAAACCATAACGCACTGGACATTTAGCCAAATCTGCGATGAAATGCCATCATTACAGCTTTAACTGAGGGTGTTTAGCACCTCCACAGACGTCTGGAGAGAAAAGAAAAGAGTGTAAAGAAAAGGAAAAACAAAATGAAAGAAACCATCATCATAAATCATGAATCACTATTTTTCATCCTTCAAGCAACAACATCATGCAAGCCCGTTTCTGCCACTGAATAAACATAAAACAAGGTAATTGTGACTTTTCATCTCGCAATTGACCTTTTTCTCAGAATACTGACTCTGAATTGTGAATTATCAAGTCATATTCTGAGGAATTCACAATTCTGAGAAAAAAAGTCACAATTACCTTTATAAATGTTGGATTATTCAGTAGCAGGGCTTCCATACAACATGTCAGAAATAGATGACATCCGCTCCTGTGTGAATGAAAATACACAAACTAATCAGATGTGTGCATCTACAGCATTCAGACATGCGGTCACGACAGTCATTAAAAGATTAGTGCTTTATTGTTAGTTAATTATTATTAATACTTCAGCAGGAGACAATGTAGCTTTAAGGACGTTTTATGTTGCAACCAACTATCCGTTTTTCTAAAATACATTCAAAACATTCAAAGTTCAAGCTTTAAAGCATCAGTTCACCCAAAACTGAACACGGTCATCTTTCGAGTTTCTTTCCTCTCGAACACAACACATGCTTTTAAAGAATGGACCCTTTTCACACGACTGTGATGACGTGTTTCATGGTCAACATCATAAATCCTCCAACGTTTTTATATTTTAATACCCATTGACTTCCATAATGTGGAAAAGCAGTCAACAGCTACGTCAACTCTTCAGTTATTCTTCAAAATATCTTCTGTTGTGTTCGAGAGGAAAGAAACTCGTACAGGTTGACGCTTTAAATCTTCAGAGTGCTCCTCAGCGTGTGTCTGGATCATGTTGTGGTTTGTGTCCTGCAGCCCATCCAGCTGGTGTCCAGTAACATGGAGGTGGTGAAGCCGGGAAAGATCCCCGCTGGAAGAACCGAGATCCCCTTTGAGTTTCCGCTGCAGGCCAAAGGCAACAAAGTCCTTTACGAGACGTACCACGGTGTGTTCGTCAACATACAGGTGAGCGAGCGCCGCTCCGCCGTCTGACCTAACAAACACTCCTCTGACCTCTGACCTCTGCTGTGTGTGCAGTACACACTCCGCTGCGACATGAGACGCCCGCTGCTCGCCAAAGACCTCAGCAAGACCTGCGAGTTCATGGTGCACTGCCAGGTCAGAGCAGAAACACACACACACAAACACACACTCACTTTCACACACACACACACACACACACACACACTCACTCACTCACTCACGGTACAGTCAGATGACGAGTCATGATCATGACTATAATTCTAAACCCGTTTCCAGCCACAGAAGTCGAAGCTGCAGCCGAACCCTGTGGAGTTCAGCATCACTCCGGAGACGCTGCAGAACGTGAGAGAGGTACGGAGAGCTCGTCCTCGTCCCATCTGCTCTCAGCTCAGGGTCTGACGCCTGTCTCTGTGTTTCAGAGGAGCTCCTTACCCCGCTTCCTCATCAGGGGACATCTGGACGCCACCAGCTGCGCCATCACACGACCCCTGACCGGAGAACTGCTGCTGGAGAGTTCAGAGGTCGCCATCAAGAGCATTGAGCTGCAGCTGGTGCGGGTGGAGACCTGCGGTGAGACACACACACTCTCTCTCTCTCTCTCACACACACACACACACACACACACACCCAGATCTTCTCCTGCGCCACAGTCTGCAGAGCTCGCTGGCTCTGGTGTTAGTGTGGAGCCCTGCTTTGGCTCAGACGCGTGTGTTCTGTGCTCAGGCTGCGCGGAGGGATACGCCCGAGACGCCACTGAGATCCAGAACATCCAGATCGCTGAAGGAGACGTGTGCCGCGGCCTCTCCATCCCCATCTACATGGTGTTCCCTCGCCTCTTCACCTGCCCCACTCTAGAAACCACCAACTTTAAAGTCGGTAAGGGTCCGGTTTACATCTTCAGTGCTGGATCTGTGTGTGTTTATTAATATTCAATACAGAAATCATCAGGGGCCAGTTGTTCAAAAAGTGTAATCTGGATCAGAATTACCTGGATTTGGAAATCTCATGTTTTGCTATCCAGGATTTTTCTTTTGTGCTGGTTTATCAAAGCAAAACTGGATTGGATCACCTTGATCCAGATACACACTTTTTCAGATTTCCAAATCTGGATTACTAGAGCTCTACGGAGCCCCTAAAGGGACATGCTGATGGGGGAAAATGCCAATGTTTTGCATTGCATTTACACAAATAACTACTTCTGACTGGTCCATCTCTGATGATTGTGCCAATGCAGTTTACAATCAGTGATTTAAAAAAAACAACTTTAAATTGGATATATTTTGTTTGATATTGACAGCTGTTTGGGGATTTGGGATATTACGTTAAAATGTTGTATTTTTTTGGACCAGTTTTTAAGTTGTATTACATTTTTGTTCCTGAAATCCACCCTTCTGCTGGGATCAGAATAATCCCGCTTTTTTGGATCAAAAGTATCTTACTAAAACATTTTGAACAGCACAAACAGGATTTAATCCAGATCAGATTTTGTGATCTAATCCAAATTCAGATTCCTTTTCGTTTCTTTTGAACCCATTTTCAAGATTTCAATGATCCAATCCGATGTCCACAACCGATCAGATTGCTTTTGAACGACTTTCTTTCTTCCTCTCTAGAATTTGAGGTGAATATAGTGATCGTTCTTCAAGACGATCATCTGATAACGGAAAACTTCCCGCTGAAGCTGGTCAGAGTTTGAGAATCTGAAGCTTCGTTGAAGGAATTATTCCAGCTTTCTTGATATGAATGAGAAGTTGCCATTTTCACATTAATTTACATTCTTAGATTCTTTTGACCATGAGTGAATATTTACATGCGTTTCTGTCATATTAAAGTGTTTATTAAAATCCTCTGCTCACCTGTGAGATAATGATTCAATGTGATTTAAAGTTTGATTTGTCTCATGTGTTTTACTTGTAGGCGTCATGTAATGCAGGGATTCCCAAACTGTTTTTGTCAGCTGAACCGCTTTGAGCTCAAATATGGACTTGAAGACTCTGAGAACATTTCATTAATTTAACATTACATTTCACGCTCCTCTGATGACAGTTAATGGTCACATGACATGCAGGTAGATTTAAGATTTTTTACTAAAGACTGGCATACAAGCGACCAATCGACGAGTCACTATGGAAACGGAGGCTAAGAAAAAGCGTGCCATGCTGCTTCTGTTCAGAGGTCATTTGCATACTTGGTTCATATCGCCACCTAACTGGTGGTTGTGCAATCATTTTTCTTTTTTTTCGTTTAATCTTTTAATCACTGAGAATAAGAACTATATTGTTTGTTTGATGCTAATTACATAGTATCACGCATGTATTTTTATTATAGAAATTATAATTATAGAAAATGGCGGTCCATGATGTGAGATGATAATATAAAATGAAAAATATATAATAAATTAAACATTACCTTAACATTATCATTAGGGCCCGAGCACCGATGGTGTGAGGATCCTATTGGAATTGCTCCGTTTCTTCTTCTCCAAAGTGAATCACATTTTTGAGGGCCTAAAACATGCTCCGAAACTCTGCACACACGTCAGAACTGGTGAAAAATGTACATCTGATATGGGTTTCAGAAGCGGATGTGGCAAAATGGCTCGATAGCGCCACCTGTAAAATATCAACGGAGTGCGCCTCGAGCTAAGTTTTACGTACATGTGTGAAAGGTGTAACACACCAGCACCTACAAAAAAGTATCTTGGTACCAAATCCAAAACCCATCAGGAAGTACGTTATTTTGAATTTCCTGTATGATTTTTGTGCGGTTTCGTGCCTAACAACGCCCCTTAGCTGTTATTAATTCACTGTAAACCACGGCTTCTTGGGTCTTATTGCTTTAGTTTAGCCGCTTAATTACCCTTAAACATACCTGGGTATGTCACATAACCTGCTTTCTGGAATACCCCCCAGATTTGAAACACTATGCATACACTTACTGACTCGTCTCCTAGCCACCGGGACAAGACCTCAGGAATCAGACGAGTCCTCTGCACAATCTGACTCCGCTGCAGCCTAGAATTAAGCTGCTGGTCTCGTCTGGCCACAGGAGAACGGCACACTACTTCCCTGTTTAATACTGTAAAGCTGCTTTGACACAATCTGCATTGTAAGAAGCGCTGTATAAATAACGGGGACTTGACTTTGTAAACAGTCACAGAGGAAAAGGCATGCATCGCACACTAGCAGATGCTCCGATCACAACAAACTCGCGCAGAAACACGGGACACGATAACAATGTGTTCTAAAATCAGCTTAAAATATCAAGCGTTTGATCTCCTCTGACTGGACTGAATCAGTCTGTGACCGTCCGACACGTCAGGATTTTCTATGAAATCTGCAGACTGACTCTCAGCAACAACCTTCTCCAGACTGAAAATCAGGGCTAAAGTTGTGTAGTGTATTCCAGCTTTAAATGTATTATAATGATAGAAATAATAGTATAAAAAATATTAGAATCAATTATTTAACTTAAAATGATATTAGTTTGACATTATGATTTCATGAATTATCAGCTATCCCCCAGTCTGAATCTGATCTGCAGAAACACGGCACGAGCTAGCGTCTAGCCTCTAAAACACACCAACAGCAGGAGAATGCTTCTTTGGTTAAATGTTTTAATGAAGTAAAATTTCAAGGTAAAATGACAAGCAAAGGTAAAAGTGGAAGAGTAAAACCAGTTCACGTAATGAACTTTATTACAGGAATGAAAACACAGATGTGCCCTGAAAGTAAACATCACCGATTAGTCCGTCATTACTGTGAGTGTGTGATTATGAAGATAATAAGACTGGTGCAGATGAACATACAGCGGGTCAGTTAAAGGCGGCGGCGGGCGCGTGGCTCCTGCGGTGTCTGCCGGGCAGCATGGGAAAGTCCTCCGGTAAGAGCGCGTGTTCTCGACAGGTGGGACACGTGCTCTGCTCCTTCAGCCACGACTTTATACACTGAAACACACACACACACAGCATCAGTCTACATCCCACAGCTGCCAGACGCTCAGCAGACGAGAGCAGAGCCTCACCTCTCTGTGGAAGCTGTGGCGGCACTCCAGGACACACACTTCCTCTGGACTCATGTCCTCGTGACAGATGATGCACGGATCCTCCATGTTCAGCTGAGGCACACACATGTTCACATGCTCAGTGAGGTTAGACTTAACGCCTTTTCACACTGAATGCGAAAATTCGGCGCAACAATGCTTCTGAATCGAAACAATAGATCCCTAAGTCAGGGCTCCAGGCTGCGACTATTTTTTCTGCCTGTGCGACTAAATTGTGTGAGCGGTCACACTGGCGCGACCACCGCGTTGTGCTGCCATTTCTGTAGCATATGAGAAACAGCAAACGAAACTGAAATCATAACGAAACCGCACTTCTCGTTTAAACTGTGCAGCGCTTCGAGTGTAGAGCCTGGTTTATACTCGCCGCGTCAGAAGTCATACAAACACATGCATGTATATATTTAAGAAAAATATGTTTATATATTAAATATATTTATATATAATATAAAAGAATATAAATGTATATACATGTAAATATTTTCTATATATACTGTATGTGCGTGTACTTATATACACATAATAAATATACACAGTACACACATATATTATGTAAACACAAACTTTTATTTTGCATGCGATTAATCTTTTGACAGCACTAGTTATAAGCAAATCCATTAATATTTACATACATTTTCAAGTGTAGCTTGATGCTAATTGTACCTCTAATCATATTTTAGGATGTATTCTTGTAAGCATTATAGATAGTTTGTGTTTCTGGTGTAGAACCAAATTGAATGCAGTATATTAAGCAGCGGACGATGTTAAATCCATATACGAGATACACATCTAAGGAAAAATGCATGGTTGGTCAGCGCCACCTAGCGAGCAGGTGTGAATTAGCAGAAGGTGATCAATCGGAGTGAAAGCACCGCTAGTCAGCGATCCGCATCGTGTCCAGTGTGAAACGGCCTTTAGACAAGCACAGTGACTAAGCGTGTGTGATTGGGTGGGTGTGTGTGTGATTGTTACCGCCAGCGGCGTGTTGCGATGTTTCTCCGACACGTTCTTCCACACGTGTGTAAGTGGCGGCCCGGTGGCTCTGACAGCGGCGTCAGACGGAGGAGTCATGTGACCCAGAGCGTCTCCACCCGCGAGGTTCATCTGCTCCTGCAACAGGAAGCACACCGTCACTCCACACACACACACACACACACTCTCACTCACTCACACACTCACACACACACTCTCTCACTCACTCTCACACACACAGACTCACACACACACTCTCACTCACTCACCAGGATGAGCTGAGCCACTCGGTTGATGACGTCATCATAGGTCAGCGTGTTGAGAGCGCCTCCGCTGGACACACGGACCTCTTGGATGAACTTGCTCAGAACCCGCCTACACACAAACACACTGATCACCAACTCACCAGCGCTCAGACCACCGGAGGAATTATCATTCATTCATGTTTCTGAAAGAATCTCTTCTGCTCAGCAAAGCTGCATTTATACAAGCACAGTAAAAACAGTGAAATATTACTAGAAATTAAAATAGCTGTATTTTCAGCATCATTACTCCAGTCTTCAGTGTCACATGATCTTCAGAAATCATTCTAATATGCTGATTTGCTGCTCAAGAAACATTTCTGATTATTATCAATGTTGGAAACAGTTGTGCCGCTTCATTAAAAAGTTTCAAAAAGTTTGTGCCAAGAAAGATATTAAAAATATGTATTTGTATTCATCAAGGGTGCATTAAATTGATCAAAAGTGCCAGTAAAAATATTTATAATGTTATTAAAAGATTTCATTTTTAAAATAAATGCTGTTCTTTCTATTCATCAAAGAATCTTGAAAAATAAAATTTATCACAGTTTCCAGAAAAATATTGGGCAGCACAACTGTTTTCAACATTGATAATAATCAGAAATGTTTCACGAGCAGCAAATCAGCATATTAGAATGATTTCTGAAGATCATGTGACACTGAAGACTGCAGTAATGATGCTGAAAATACAGCTCTACTTTCTTTAAAAAAGTCTTCTATAAAGTTTGGTCAGTTCCACATGGTGAAAAGTATGGTAAAAAAAAATTAAGTAAATTAAGGGTATATTTCAACACTAGTAAAAATAATAGTTTGTTATATATATTCTTTTTTTTTTTAGTTACCGGAACTTAGTTAGTTAGTCTGTACAATGAAAGTCAATGGGGTCCATTGTTGATCTTGGTCTTGTTTGAAATCAATAATTCCACTTTCTTTCTTCTTTTTTTCTTTTACAGTGGGCTACTGGACTGACTGACTGAGTCTGCAGTAACTCACAGTGAAACCTGACTCTCAGAAACGCTCGGCGGGAAATGCATCAAAGCCGAACATAAATAGCAATCAGAGCACAAGTAAACCAATCAGAAGCTTTGTTACTGAATATGCAGCAATCAATTAGTGGATGGATTTCCGTCCATTTTAACAAAGTGAATCAAGGCACTTCTTACAGCATGTTATGGACAATTTGCAGTTTGTTTTACGCAAATGAATCCCAGACCTGCTCTGGCAGGACAGACATTCAACGAGCTGAAACTCCTTCTCCAGCAGAGATCTGCGATAGATATTACATCGGTGCTACAGATTTCAGAGCAGTTAACATAAATTAGGAGTTTCATGCTTGACAGAAGTAAGTACAGCAAAGGGCAAAGTTAAAAAGTGGTGCTAAAAACTGATTACTGATGAAAGGGCATAAACAAATGCATAAATACGTAAACAAAATGCTGTTTACAACACATCCTTCCACATATCTTTCAATTCAGACTGTATTACAAATGGGTTTGATATTTTGTGAAAAAGTGCAGGTTTTAGAACGACACAAGCTAATCAAATGATGTAACAATGCATCCATTGCTTAACCCTTTAAAGCCTGTACAGAATAATATTTGATGCAGAAATATTTAATGCGCAAAACAGCTTCTAAGTGATCAACATGATCAAAACTTTGGTGAAAAACCACACAACCTATTGATTAATACTTTAGACTTTTTTTATCAAGTCAAAGCTCTTTTAGTGTAATGGCTTCAGCTGGAGCTTCTCGTGTCAAATCTTGACTGATTTTGATCAAGTAAAGGTCAGAATAACTGCAGTAATATCTCCAGATGAACACTTACTGGACTGAAGCAGCTCAGCTTTACTTGATTCTCCATCAATCATGTTTTAGAGTCTCAAATCTGATCCTCAGGATCTTTTGAGGAGCGTTTGTTTCCAGAAGCTTTACTTTCACTGTTCCTCAGCGGAGGAATGATCTTCACAAGCCTCCAGAACATCTCACATCTTCTGAGGAGCCTTTATTTCTTCAGCTCTCAATCAGCACTGGATTGCATTGCATTATATGTTTGGATATTTGAAATATCATCTTACTAAGACATATTACTGGAGATATAGAGCAACGACTGATATTTATATCATTTTATGTAAGTATGCACCAAACTGCATAATTAGAGATTCAGTGCATTGGGCAACAATGAGTTCAAAAATTAATACTTTTATTCAGCAAGGAAGCATTAATTTGATCAAAAGTGACAGTAAAGAAATTTATAATGTTACAAAAGATTTCTATTTTAAATAAATGCTGTTCTTTTAAACTTTCTGTTCATCTGTGAATCCTGAAAAATAAAATGCATCACAGTTTCCACAAAAATATTGTTCAGCACGACTGTTTTCAACATTGATAATAATCAGAAATGTTTCACGAGCAGCAAATCAGCATATTAGAATGATTTCTGAAGATCATGTGACACTGAAGACTGGAGGAATGATGCTGAAAATACAGCTTTGATCACAGAAATACATTACAGTTTAACAGATATTCACATAGAAAACAGCTGTTTTACATTAGAATAATATTTCAGATTTTTCCTGTGTTTTTGCTGTGATGTGCAGCAGCGCTGAGCAGAGTGTTTTCTCTCAGAAGCGTGCCTGACACTGCTGCTGCTGGTCTCCGTCTCTGTGTTGTGTTGGAGCAGCACCTGTTGTAATGAGGGAACATCATGTGGAGTCGCTCCAGGATCCGCTCGTACACGGTGAGGTGTGGCGGCGCTGGGGGTCCTTCAGGAAGTCTGTCTGTCGGTGTGCTGCGTCCTGTGCGGCCGGGAGGAAGTGACACGTACGGCCCGTAGAACTGAGCCGGCTGAGGAACCGGAGGAGGAAGCATGGCCTGCAGGACACAAACACTGATCAGAAGACGCGTGATGACCCTTGACCTTCACGTGACCCACAGAGTGAGCGGCAGCTCTCACCGGTAGAGAGGGTGCTGCGGGGACGCTGGGAACGCAGATATCAGGCAGTGAACAGAGTCTGGTGCCGCTCTTCACCTGATCCATCTGAGCCTCAAACTCCATCTGAAAGAACACAGAGAGAAATCCAGAGCTCGTTAAGCAGAATGGATTGGGCTCTGTCTCAACACACAGCAAGCTGTCTCTGGTAACAGAAGGAAGCTCACCTGCATCCTGTTGATTTTGTCTTCAGCGTCGCACATGTGTTTCTTCCAGTCGTCTATGGCTGACAGCAGCGCACCGGAGGGGAAACTGCAGCACAATTAACATCAGACACATCTAGGGGTGTGCGATATTGGCAAAAAATATCGCAATAATTCCTGGGATTTTATTGATAACGATAATCAGACAATATTTTGCTGAGTGTGTTATTGTGCTGATATCTTAACGACCGTCGTGGACAGCTGACTCTAAAGACATTATTCACAGCACTGACAGAAATTAATCTTTTCCAATAAGTTTCAATTGATTTTTACATTTTATGGGCATCTTTACCTTTATAAAGCCTTTTTTTCTAAAAGTGTGCATCATCTTTGGAGTCAAATTCTTACATTTAATCAGTGAATTAGAATAATAAGACATTTGGGCTGTTACCAAGCAAATTAAATCAGTATCAATAAAATTCATCTTTGCAATGCAGAGGAAACACAGAAGCTGCATCTGAAGAGGTGTTTAGAACTGTCATGTTGCACAGAGACGCAAAACAGTGCTGTGGCTGTGTTTGGAGGTATTTTTATTGGTAAAATAGAGCACTACAGGCAATATGGCGTCTAAAACGTAAGTCTCTTAATTAACTTCTTGTTTATTGAACTGTTGCATAAAATCAGTATCACATTTGTAATCATGTTGATTTTTAGAGGTGAAAACTGGCACTCTTCGTGGTTGATTCATTCAGGAACGAAACACCATCATGTTGCACAGAGACGCAAAACAGTGCTGTGGCTGTGTTTGGAGGTATTTTTATTGGTAAAATAGAGCACTACAGGCAATATGGCGTCTAAAACGTAAGTCTCTTAATTAACTTCTTGTTTATTGAACTGTTGCATAAAATCAGTATCACGTAAGTAATCATGTTGATTTTTAGAGGTGAAAACTGGCACTCTTCGTGTGATATTGACTAACTTCCTTTCTGTGGTATTTTTATGCATAACTATGTCTGTGTGCGTGTGTGTATGTGACAGACTGTGCTCGCTGAGTGTGTGTGTGTCTGTGTGTGACAGACTGTGCTTGCTGAGTGTGTGTGTGTGTGACAGACTGCTCGCTGAGTGTGTGTGTGTGTGTGTGTGTGTGTGTCAGACTGTGCTCACTGAGTGTGTGTGTGTCAGACTGTGCTCGCTGTGTGTGTGTGTGTGTGTGTGAGACAGACTGCTCGCTGAGTGTGTGTGTGTGTGTGTGTATGAGACAGACTGCTCGCTGAGTGTGTGTGTGTGTGTGTGTATGAGACAGACTGCTCGCTGAGTGTGTGTGTGTGTGTGTGTATGAGACAGACTGCTCGCTGAGTGTGTGTGTGTGTGTGTGTATGAGACAGACTGCTCGCTGAGTGTGTGTGTGTGTGTGTGTATGAGACAGACTGCTCGCTGAGTGTGTGTGTGTGTGTGTGTATGAGACAGACTGCTCGCTGAGTGTGTGTGTGTCTGTGTGTGACAGACTGTGCTTGCTGAGTGTGTGTGTGTGTGACAGACTGTGCTCGCTGAGTGTGTGTGTGTCTGTGTGTGTGAGTGTGAGTACCTGTTTTTCTATTCTGGTGGGGACTTAAACCTGAATACACACAGACTCATGAGGACTCGTGTCACGGTGGGGACCTAAATTGAGGTCCCCACGGGTAAACAAGCTAATAAATCATACAGAATGGAGTGTATTGAAAATCTGAAATAGCACAAAGTTTCCTGTGAGGGGTAGGTTTAGGGGTAGGGTTGGTGTAGGGCAATAGAATATACGGTCTGTACAGTAGAAAAACCATTACGCCTATGGAGAGTCCCCACAAGGATAGCAAACCAGACATGTGTGTGTGTGTGCGTGTATGACAGACTGTGCTTGCTGAGTGTGTGTGTGTCTATGTGTGTGTGTGTGACAGACTGTGCTCGCTGAGTGTCTGTGTCTGTGTGAGTGTCTGTGTGTGTGACAGACTGTGCTTGCTGAGTGTGTGTCTATGTGTGTGTGTGTGTGTGTGTGTGTGAAAGTGTGTGTGTGTGTGTGCGTTTTTGTGACAAAT